CACTCTACGTGATGTTATAATTATGGATACAGGCCATTATATATTTGTTCAAAACCCCAGAATGTACAGAACCAAGAGTGAATCCTAAGGCAAACTATGGACTTTGAGTGATTATGATGTAGGTTCAATTGTAACAAATATACCATGCTGATGGGGGATGTTGGTAATGTGTGGTCATAAGGGGGCCAGGGGAAATCTCTGTACCTTCTCTCAGTTTTGTTGTAAACTTAAACTGCTCTAAAAGTATTGAAGACGTTAAAATAAAATATTTTATACCAATACCTCATTTAATCCTCACAAAAATCTGCTAAATAAGTGAAAAATAGAGATGAAAAATGTTAAGTGAAAAAAGAGATATTGTGTACAAATAAGGTAGAGATGGGAAGAAAAACTAGATAAACCCTGGTATTATGGAATATTTCAAAGAAATTTAGGGACAAAGAGAAAGGGAGTGTGGAATTTAGACACTGACGTGGAGGCTGACTGTGTTCATGTCTGAGAGTGGGTAATTTTTTGAATTATGAATTTTTACTATTAACATTTAAAATAAATTATATATGTTGCTATAGGCTGACACTTGATAAGCCAGGCCTCTCTTTCCTCTCACTCCCTAAGGGTGTTTTATACTTGAGCTCAAATTTCTGCCCAGATAATAAGATTTTTGATGTATTGGAAAGGGCTCGCAAATGAAAATCAGCTACATTGATAGTTTCTTAATCCACGATGAAAAAAATCAATTCCAATTGATTATAGAAAATTTTCCAAAAGTGTGGTGAACAGACCAGATTTGGGATTTAAGTTTAAGCAGGACATAGATAAACACTTCTGGTTTAACAACGAGTCATTGGTTATTTTAAATATCACATTCTACTTATGATAACTCATAATGATTTTCTATTTATTGATCAACTTCAAGTGGAAGGTTTTGGTTTGAAATATCATTACACACAAGAAAGTAACATGAAAAAGGAACTATTCAGTTGTTCTATTAAATTCTGTAATTTTGAACTTATATGTGGTAGTATATGCACAAAATAGATTTTACATCGTGTCATCAGTCTCTTATCATCCAATACTTCTTACAGAGAGTGAGTTTAGAATTGAATTGTTCACTTTCTCATTTTATACACAAAATAAATTCGATTGAATTTTCTCTTAAAATTCCCAGGATAACGAAGATTTTTATGTCTTTGGAACAAAAGAAACGTGGCACACACTGAGCAAAATTATCCACTGAAATCGCTCTGTAACATGAATCACTCATACCCAAAACAAATATTAATTCTCAATATAACTGAATAGTGCTCACATAGTTTAAATTCTTTTTTTTTTTTTTAAGATTTTATTGACTTATTTTTGAGAGAGAGAGAGCAGGGGGAGAGGCAGAGGGAGAGGGAGAGAAGCAGACTCTGAACTGAGTATGGAGCCTGCTGGGGGGCTCTATTTCACAACCTTGAAATCATGATCTGAGCCAAAGGCAAGTATCAGCCACTTGGGACGCCTGGGTGGCTCGGTTGGTTAAGTGTCTGCCTTGGGTAATGATCCCAGAGTCCTGGGATCGAGTCCTGCATTGGGCTCCTTGCTCAGAAGGATCCTGCTTCTCCTTCTGCCTGCCACTCACCCAGCTTGTGCTCTCTCTCTGACAAATAAATAAATAAAATTTAAAAAAAAAAAGAGTCAGATGCTTAACCAACTCAGGCACCCCACATATTTTAATTTTCATTTCTAAACTTAAGAGACTACAGTGGTGAAAATCCCCCAACTCACTGGTAGTGGGCACACTCATTCCACTCATTTGATGCACTAGAAATCATTCCCACGACCTATATAATAAGAGCCAAAGGATATAGAGCATTAGAAGAGTAGAAGCAGGAAATCCCTGTATCCAATGGCAAAGGCTAGAAGAGTAAAGGAAACAATAACTAGAAATTCAGCTTGGGATGGGGACTGGATGTGGTGTATACTTGACTCTTGAACAACGCGGGTTGGAACTGATGGTCCACTAATACAGGGGTCTTCTTCTATACAGTACAGTATTGTAAATGTATTTTATCTTCCTTCCAATTCTCTTAATAACATTTTTATTTCTCTGGCTTCCTTATTGTAAGAATACGTATATAATCCATATATTATACAAAATACATGTTCATCTGCTGTTTATGTTACCCATTAGACTTTCTGGTCAACAGTAGGCTCTTGGTAGTTAAGGTTTGGGGGAGTCAAGTTATATGCGGATTTTCAACTATGCAGAGGGTCAGCGCCCTGAAACCCCCACATTGTTCAAGGGTCAACTGCATTTAGAGTCATTACTCCTAACCTTTCTTGAAAGTTGCTTCAATCCCTGCTTAATGCCACTGCACTCTGGTTCTTTGCTGTGCTCGGTGATAATACAATAATAATATTAATAAAATACCCACTGGCATGGAATAATATAGCCTTAAATTAATACCTCGCACAGCAACCCTATGAAAAGACAGTTAAACAAAGGAAAACAAAACAAACAGAGCGTATCTAAACATTTCAAGCAATTTCACATTTTGATGCTTATTTTTCACAACATATTTTTACTATCATTCTTAAGTGAGCCAACATCTTTTCAGACCAAAAAAAAAAAAAAAAAGATGATTCATACCCCATGTTTCCTCAACTGAAATGATTCAAGCTTATTGTTTACTCCAAGGACATGGAAGTAAGATAGCTTTCATGTTGATTCAAAAGCAGCTCTGTTTTTTGACAACCCCTCCTGGGGATCAATTAGATCCATCTGTGTTTACAGCTTTAGTGAGTCAGGCTGCTACCCATTAGAAGTAAGACTAGGGATGTTACTTTATCCCACATAAAATAGCTCTTGTCAGACACTAGCTTGTGTCTCCCCCCACCCCAAAAAAAATCAGTCCTGTAATTCAAGAGTATCTCAAGAATGTAGCCTTCCTTCATTCCTCACACCAGGGTCTTAACTCTGAACATGCTGTTATATTTGGAAGTCTGTAACCCTCACCTTACCTTTACCAGGTGGTAGTTTTACTAATAAACTCTCTGATTTTTTTTTGTTTTTTTACATATTGCATTAAAATAATATTTTATTAATATTTTGACTCTATCATGCTTTTATCAATCTTTAAAGATAGAACATACAGTAAATTAAACAACATAGCATGTTCACTGTGTTCTAAAATTCTCATTATTGAACCATAGAGAGTTTCAATCCATATTTATTTACCTTTTAATTACTTTCTTTACAGCCTTCCATATTTCTTCCATAACTGTTCATATTCTTGAAATAACCTGTAAATCTAATCACCAGGCATTTCCCACTTTCACAATTATCAACAGGACACTCAGGGTCTCAAGTATAGGATTGATGAATGATTAACAGGTTAATATATAACAACTACTAACGGAGCTGATTCTTGAGAATGCCCCTACAAACACTGGTAATAAATATGGGTTTGTGGAGTTCAACTGAGAGTGAATCATGTTGTAATATGGACATGTAGAACGACAACTTGAATCCAATGAGTAAATTAGCCAGCATTCGACCTGACATGTAGGAGCACTCAGTAATTGCCTTTTTTTTTCTTCTCTTTCCCAAGACAAATGCACTTTTTTAGAGTTCTCTCTTGACCACTGACATGTTTCAAGAAGGGGAATACTCAGATCAGTTTGGGAAATAGATTCAGGTGAATGCAAAGAGCAGAGCCTGCATGCCCTCAAGCCCTTTCCTGAGATTTTTTTCCTATATGCTGTGAATGAATGTGTTGAGGTAACCGCTGAATGATTTATGCACTTTTTATTATTGCCCCATGGCATAAAATCTTATTAGCCGTGTGTCTATATATTTTCCCTATGTCAATAGTATTTTTGTATTTAAAGCCTACTTATCTTTGTTCTGATTTTCTATATGAAGGTTCAACCCCTTAGTGGTGGAAGATTCAGAACAAAGCACATATTTCTCTCTGTCTCTCCTCTCTCTCTCTCTCTCTCTTTGGTTTCCCAGTTCTTGTATACATGTGGGGTGTGGACAGCTAGCAAGGAAATTAAATGTACAGAAGAGACATAGTTGAATCAATAGTAAGTCTCAAAATATGTTGCAGGATCTGGGGCACTTGGGTGGCTCAGTCGGTTAAGTTTCTGACTCTTGATTTTGGCTCAGTTGGTGATCTCAGGGTCATGAGATCGAGCCCCACATCGGGCTCCACATTCAGCATGGAGTCTACTTGTCCCTCTCTTTATGTTCCTCCCCCCCCCACTCCCTCCTCACCTCTCTCTCTCAAATAAATAAATAAAATATTTAAAAAAATATGTTGCAGGATCCATGTATAAGTGAGAGAACGGGAAATCCCATTGTGCTTCAGAAGTAGTGCAAATGGAATGTATGGGTTTGGGGTAGGAGGAGAGAAAGAGATTATTTTTTTACTCTATCGATGGCTTTGTTGACTCACTACCCAGTAGCCTTATATCCTTATATCAACAGGAGCTCTTTGTAAAGCCTGCGCTTTGAGCAATCCCTTAACTCATCCTACCCCAGGACTGGCTCTAACTCTTTTCAGGAGCGGACACAATTGTCAGTGAAAATAATGAACTGCAAACTGAAAATGGTAAAACCATCTTTTTCAAACACTAACTTTTGGTAAGAGAAATTTTAGAGTAACTGAAAAATGTATTACATATCCACTCGTTTTTAGGCACTATGAAAGTATCTTAATATCATTAACCTCGGAGGCTGTATTACGAAATGCCTTTTATAGATTAAAAAATTGGGCCTGGTTAACTTGAGTGCCAGGTCCAACATCGCACCACCGTCAAACCCTGTTGCAGGGATTGATAGCAGATGTTCTCGTTCAAATCCTGTGGCTTTTCAACTAATACTGATCGTGCGAAGGCATTGCATTTTCAAGTCTCCTATCACCAAACAAAATCATTCATCCAGGTTTGGGCAGAGCATTTTTTTTTTTTCCTTTTTCAGACACACAGAGAATAAAAATGTTTCCTTTTCTTACCTAACAGAACTACTGCCTACGTCGAGGTCCTGTGCAGTGACAGCGCCGATGATAGTCCCAACTGGGGTGTCTTCATAAACCTCCATGGTGTAGAGTGGCTTGCTAAAAACCGGGGGTTCCTCCACATCCATCACGCTGATCTTCACTGTGGCCGTGTCTTTAAAAGGGCCGGCGGAGTGAAATCTGTGGTCAAGGTGCACGTTGGAGGCTTCTACTTTAAAAGTATATGCCTTCTTTGTTTCGAAATCTAATGGCTGCAATGAGGACACACCAAAGATGAAGAGGGACGTTCATAGAGAATGTGGCAAAGAGGGTGAACGTGGTTTGAGAGCATTTGCAGTTGTGTTGGTTCCAAAATTTTTAATTAGTGGGTGAGGAAACATTTTCAGAATGACCCACTTGTAGAATATTCTAGGTAACTTGTAGAGAGAATCAGTTGCATATATTAAGATGGCATGCATGTACACATGCATGCTTAGGAAGGGCTTATTCATTTTGTATGAGTAGTTAACACTGTCCGAGAAATTTTAAGGGAAGCATTTTCTAAGCTCATACAATACTGACATCTAGTGGAATTAAGCTGTAATTAAAACACAATAAAATTGAAATTGGGTTAAGACAACGTACGTTCCAGTTAAAAATTTGGTATTAACAAAATAATTTTTTTTTCTTGGACCACTCTTCTTATCTTGACAATAGTATCATTTTTTATTAAACTTTTTTGAATATTTAGGTCTTTTCATTAAGAAGGGACTATGTCAGGATTTAAAACATACATAGTGGTAATTACACAAAGCATTTCGGTCTCTGGTGTTCTCAGCATTATATATATAATTAGGCACTGTAATGCATCGTTAGGATATTGTACCAATATTTTACTTTGAACATATGTGATCAAATTAAAGAAAATTGTGAAACAGTATTTGGAAGTCATGTGTCCATGAAGTCACTGATTCTCTATTTTAACTTTACTACTACTTCTTTTCACTTTTATGCTAAATATTAGTTTTATGTTCCCAGTAACTGAAAATATTATATTCTGGATATATGGTGTTGCCACGGTGTTTTATATAAACTTTAAGGTCAATGGCTCTGACTTCTAATCACCTATGAAAGACTAAGGCATGAAATTAACATTAACATAGAGATTTTCAGGGACCTTTAAAAGTTTCTGTTTTCTAAAATAATCCCTCTGGTATGACTCCAGTGACTTGCTAATTGCTGTGTCAACACATCTGTTTTTTGCTTCAGCACACCTGGGGGAAATAAAGGAGGTATATCTTTCACAAGGACAGGGTTGTCATTTTATGCATTTTCTCTGAGGATGAAAAAAGAAAATTAAAAAATCACTGTGAAATCCTCAAAAATTCTCACAATTCCACGGAGTTTATTAGAGCAGTTACACTTCCTAGATGTGGCATTTAAGTTTTGTTCACAATAATTTTCATTCAGGGGAATCCATATTTATTTTCCCTGTAATTATTCCCTTATTTGATCTAATTCACCCGATTTCTATTCATGCTTTTATCTGCTTTGCACTCAATGTTTTCTTTTACTTTCCGTATTTTTAGTTACTTGCCTCATGCCTATTTACCTATTATATCAATACAATATTGATTTTCTTCCATTTCCTTCTCTTTCCTGTTAGGAATTTTGATTTATCTTTAAGCCAGTAACAGTAAAGAATGATATGTAAAAATGCCATGTTTGATATTACAGCTATTGGATATATGAATAGAAATATAACATCAAGAATTTTTGTAAACTCCAAATGCTCTATGAATGTTAAATAATATAATTTTCCATCATAGTGACCCCTATCTTCTTCTTCTTCTTCCTTTTTTTTTTTTTTTTTTTTTGGTGACCCCTATCTTCTAAAGTAAGACTATTTTGATTTTAACACCTTGGATCCTTTTGCCTAGAAAGCTAATTGAGCTGTCCTGCCTTATATGTACTCCTTTTTGTGGACCTAGCGTTAACTGCTTAGAATATAGGAGCTAATACCAATTGCTTCCCTTTTCCCTCTCTAGTTTCTCCTAGACATTAAAATGCTCCTGATTATTTTCACAATTCAGAGAATTCTTTCTAGACAAGATCTACATTTTATTTACCTACTCAATTATAAGATGCCACACCCACATGATGGACTTGACTCCCACTTCAAAGTCCATTTCAAGCCCAGAAATGGAAGGAGAATTCTGAAAACTTTTCCACACTTTTTTTTTTTTTGTCCTGATGTCAGGATATCAGACATAGTCTATGCCTTTTATGAACTTCTGACCTTGCATAGCCAGCAAATAATTGGTGGTCAGGGAGTTAAATGAAACTTTTTGTACATACAGGTTATTTTGAGACTAAAAACTTACATCGTGCAGTGATCAAAGAACTGGAGAAAATTCTAAGAGAAATGCCATAATAATATCCTAGATGGCCTTACTTCTTCAATAACCTGACCCCTAGGCAATGCCATTTTATAAAACTGAATAGCTCAGAAACAGCAAAGAGAATCAATACTGACCTCGCTCTAGTTGACTTTATCCAAACCATCTAGCTGATTACCCTCTATGTTTGGGGGTTGGGGATGGTGGTGCTGAAGAAGGAAAATTCATCTAACTTTATAACAAACAGAAACTCTAATATTTGAAATAGGTATAGAACAAACAGAATTATTTTTTATTCTTAGAAAATTAATCATAGTCTATGGCAGAATTCCATTATTATGAATTTGAGCTAATTTAGCTCTTCCACCATAAATAGAAATCTTTATAGCATTGCATGGGGCCCATTTAATTTTATGAACCTTTCTAAAGAAGTAAGAAAATGATTGATTAAAAAGAATTTAATTAAGTAACTCCCTGCTCCTAATGGTGTTTCAAGAAAGGAAAATTAGTAAGAGTAGAATTTGCAGGGAATAATCGACATTGTAGGGAGCTATACAGTAAGAGATATAACTCTGGAGAAGCAGAATACAATATACTTAATTGTTCTTCAGAGTATCAAGGAGGAATTGGGCAAAGGTCAATTTTTTGCATCTTTATTTTTAGACACTTTCTCAGCTCTTACTTTGCTGAGGTCCAGGTCATGGAAAAGTGCATAAAATATTAATTGCTAAATGGTGTTTTTCATTTGAAAGAGGAATAAGCAATTTTGGCATAAAATGCAAAACAATAGCTCCCTAGGATCTTTCAGGCCTCAACAAACGTCTAGATAATGCTGAGTGGAAGTGTAGATGTAGATATATTTTGAGGAATTTGAAAAACAACAGCTTTGGTAGAATTCCAAGAGGTCTCCAAGATTTCCATCCTGCGACCTGCACTCTTGTATAATTCCCTTCCCTTGACTGTGTGAGCCACCTGTGAATTGCATCGGATACCACTCCAGGAATTCAAGTTTTATGGAAAAATAGATGATGCAACTGTAATGAAGTGTCTTCATCACGTGATATTGAGTTAACTGAAAGGGAGATTTTAGTTGAGGGGCCGGACCTAATCATGTGAGCTGTTAGAAGAAAGGCAGTACACATAAATGCTCCTTGACTTTGAGAAGTAAACTTGGGAGGGTAGGAGCCACCTGGCAAATGCCTAAGTGGTGCCTACAGGAGCTGAGACTGAAACATGGCCAGTAACTAGCAAGAAATGCATACCTCTGTCATAAAGCCACAAAGAAATGAACTCTGCCAACAACCAGTAAGCTTGGAAAACATCTCTAAGCTTCAAATCAGATTGCACCCCAATATACGTCTTGATGTCAGCCCTAGAGACCCTGAGATTTCAGTGGAGGACCCTTTATGTCATTCTCTGACCCTTGATAGTTGTGTTTTCATCGCTCTTTACTTTTTACTCCACTATATTGCTTCAATTTTTATGATTAATATGTATCTGTATTATTTCACCAACAGAGGACAGTCATCACTCGACAGAATGTATCCTTTAGTGATAAGACTCTACTTTCTCAACAGTATAGTAGTACTTACTAGTCAATGGAAGGGAAAATTTTCAATCAGTGCAAATGAGTGAGGGCTGTATCTTTATCCACAACAAGGTAGATGCTTTTCAAGACAAGCAGAAAACAGATTTATACCAGGCAGAACCATGATGAAAAGACAAGAGGGATAAGATCTTGTACAATAAGCTCCTTATGCCAGGGTGCACTACAAAGATAAGACTTTCAGATCAAGCATTATCTTAAAGGAAAATTAAGTTTCCCAAAACTTAGTTTGATGATCAACATGGTAATCAATTTATTTATTTGTTACTAGCACTTTCCATTCCATAAGAAACTATTCTAAAACTCTACCACTACTCAGATTACATAGTAAATCATCCATAGATGATATCTGCACCTACTTTTTTGATTTATTCAAATCAACTTAAATCCACATTGATTGAATCAAATGTCTGGAGTTGAGAATATGGTGGTTAGCAAGTTAAATTAAGTCCATTTTATCATGAACCTTGTATTATAGACAGGGAGAGCCACAACAAAAAATAAGTACATAATTTTCAGAGAGTGTTAAGACTTATGAGGAAAATGAGATAAAGGAAAGAGGGAACATAATTAAACATAGAGCAAATAGGAAGTGCATTTCTGAGGATGTAATGCTAGGAACTGAGATGAGAAGAACAAGGCGTGGGGAAGTCAGGAGGAAATGAGCCTGATGGAAGGTGAGCAAAGGCAAAATTCCAGAGACATTTTATTCTGCCTTTCAATAAATATTTCTTGAACGTCCTACCATGTTCCAGACATCATTATCAATGCTGGAACTGAAACAAGCAGAAAAAAATCACCACCTGCAAGGAGTTTGCTGTCTTCTAGGACTTGATGGACAACAGTAAGAGAATTAAGCAAAGTATGCAGTATGTTGGGTGGCAATAAATGCTATGGAAAAATGTAAAACTTGGGAGACAGATGTGTGTTCTGTGTGTTGGGGGTAGATGGGAAAGTTCGTGTGTATCCTGTCACCATTGAGGAAGGAATTCAGCTCAGCAACTTACTAAAAAGTAGTGAAGTAACTATTTGAGGGGTAAAAGTTGTTACATTATTAGGTGAGAATGCTGGAACAACAAAGGGAAAAAATCAAATGTGATTTTAAAACCAGAATTTTAGTTTTTGACAAATTTCAACAGCATCTCAGTTTTATAATTAAAAAAAATAAATAAAAACAATGGAATGACCAGACAGGAAAGTATTTTCTAAATAAAATTATTAAAGTGAAGAAACATACATTTCACTAAAGTTACCTCTAAATAAATTT